CTAATAACAAAACAGTCGCTGATTCAGAAGCGCCAGATTGTCATAGCAAAGTCAGAATTACCTCCTCTCCTATAGGTTCACGAAACGGTCGTCCATAAAATGCATTGCTGTTCTGTTGTAAGTAATCTTAAAGATTCCTAAATGCATCTACTTTCGGAAGGCCAAATAAAGTGCTTTTGCTTTCGCCTAGAAACACACAGCATCTCCCTGACATGCTGCTTCAACACTAACTGCGGTTACTGAAACCACGCCTTCTTTCTTTGCGTGAACATTTGGGCGGCATTATGCTAATATTTCCACATAGTGAGGTAGATATGTGGGGGCGTGTTAGAACGAGCCGTTTTAGGGGGGCGTGGCAGAGTCTTAACTTTGATAAAGAATATCTCTTTGGTATTGAGACTTTAGTCTTTGCAACTTCAGGGGTCTTATCTATTCACAATCAGCTTGTAACACTCCAAAGAGAAAGGGAAACTTGAAATCGCATCATATGACCCCTTTAATTAAATTTGTCCAGCCAAGAACACAGAAGCATCCATGTGCACTTGTACGGCACACAACAAACACACATAAACACACCCTCAGGCTAGGTTTCCTCTTTTTAATCAAACTCTAAGATGCTTTTGGTGCAGACCTGAGTGCATCGGACATCACAGTTCTGTCCATATGGTTGGTGCGAAAGTGGTTTTGCTAGCTTGCCTGAACCATTCAGTCATCCCTATTTACACTACATTAGTCATCATCTCCTTAGTCATGCTTTTCAGTGCATGGCATTATCCTGCTTGCTGAATGCTGATCATCATTTAAACAGGTTTTTAATGGCAACACACTCTTATTAGATATTAAACGAGTGGTTGATACATAAATTGCTAGCAGGAAGTGTTTGGTCAACCAGTTTCATTAGACAGATCATACTTTTTGGCTCTTCTTTTAACTTCATGTTTGTTTTTTGTTTTTTTTGATGAACAGCAAGACTATTCAGGTACTAGTACTAAACCAGCATAAACCAGTCTGGATCAGCATGGAAATTCACGTTGGTTTACTGTAAGTTGATCTTGTCAGTGATTCTCCTATAACTGCCTCTGTCGGCTGTGATGTGGAGCGCCAGAGACCTGCTGTAAATCAGAAGTATGTCCCAGGGTGTCTGACACAAAGGCAAATTTCCCATGGGACTGGCAACTTCCTGCCTGTATAGTGTCTCAAAAGTCTCGATCAATGCAGCTGACACAAGCTGTCCTCTGTGGAGGAGTCATATATTGGTGATAGTTTTACTGGTGCTATAGAAAGTGCTTTTCACTAGTTGGGGAAAGTTTTTTGTTGTTGTTGTTGTTCTTTTTTTTTTTCTTTTACATTTTTATTAATTTAAATAAATAAATAAAAAACTGACACTGAATACTGGAGTGATAAAGGAATAAATTACATTTTTAAATTTATTAAAATAGGAAACATTTTAAATTGTAATAATATTTTACAATATTAATGCGTGTTCTGTATTTTTGATTAATAAATCAAATGAATGCAGATTTGGTGAGGATAATAGACTTTATTTAGTAAGGCATAATGTACATAATGTACAATAAACTCCGACAGGGTGATCAGTACCCTGATGTGAAGCATCTAACCTTGAGGTCATGTACGCATGATTTAACGTTTCTGCATTTGGTATTGAGAGCATAGGTCGTAATGTAGATACATTGGAAAAATGCAGTTTTACAAATGGTAGAAACATGGTTTTCAAAGGAAAGATTGCTATCAAATAGCACATTTAGGTTTCGAACTAATGACGAAGAATTGACAGCACAGCCATTAAGTGTTAGACCGTGTTCTAGGTTATTTCATATTATTAGGTTATTTTCACCACATAAATGATGACGAGGACATAAAATGTTATTTGAGAAGAAAGTTTTTTTAAATCTTTCCTTTTTAATATCTTAAATCCATTACAGTGTAGCAACAAGACGAATACTTTTCCACAATTCCTCCTTTTTTTACAGTAAATACAGTCAATAACTGAGGCACAAGTTGTGTTTGAATGAAACGAGCAGCCTCAAATACCCGTACACTCTAAAAAATGCTGGGTTGTTTCAACCCCAACTTTGGGTGAAATATGGACTAACCCAACCGTTGGGGTAAATTTATAAAAAGGAGTAATATGATGCGATTTCAATTTTTCCTTTCTCTTTGAAGTGTTACAAGCTCTTGGTGCATAAAGAAGATCTGTAAAGTTGCAAAGACTAAAGTCTCAAATCCAAAGAGATATTCTTTATAAAAGTTAAGAGTCAACCAGGCCTACCTAAAACAGCTCGTTCTAACACGCCCCCACATGTCTACGTCACGATGTGGGAAGATTTGCATAACGAGAAGGCGTAACTTTTATTCTCGCTGTAGTATTGTTGTTGCTGCCGCCATGTCGTGAAGACGCTGTGTGTTTCGTTGTGAAAGCGAAACTACTTTGTTTGGTCTTCCAAAAGAGGACGATATCCACTTCGTCATGCCTAGAGCTGATCCGTGCTGGTCGCTGAGGAAATACATCAACTTCGTGCTGTGGATCGCCGGAT